TACATTTCCGTACTATTACTCACAGTGTGCTGGTGGAGCATTTATTCCTCCCGAAGCATGTCCTACACACATACGAAGTCACACATTAATTCTCTAAATCATTTCCCCTAATTTCCTTTCTCATTTTAACATGATTCACAATGCTCATAACAAAGTTCATTCGCAAATTTTTAACATTATTTTGAAACATCTCAAAAATCCAATTAAACTTGTACACGTATAATTCAACCCACCAATTCCATGATTCTATTTTCAATTTGAGCAAAATCATTATTTATCATCACAAATTAACCTACGGTCTTCAAGAAAAATAAAGTTTTCCATAAAAATTCAAACTTCTCACACCATTACCTTACATTCCACTTTTCTCCTTGATTATACATCTAAGGGTCCTACTCCATCACCTTAACCCATCAATTGATCCCTCCATGCTTCAAACCCTAAATTGTCAAATCTCATAATTTACTCTATATGCTCAAAAATGAAAATTTGTGCAGTTATACAATGACAATACCACAAATCGATCTGTTGATGTAAATATTGAAGAGCACTACAACCCCTACCTCCATAAACAAGCAAAGGAGCAAGCTTTGAGAAGAAACCTTCGCAAATCCGAGTTCCAATCAGGTGAAAACGTTGATCTTCTCTTGTTCTCCATCCTTGATGCAAAAACCATGGTTGATTGTTGATCAAAGTAGCGGAAATCAAGGTTTTGGGGGCTAGGGTTTCAGACTTAGAATGAGAGGAAAGAAGAGGGGAAAAGAAAATGTGTGAAAAGATCTAAAAATCCCATTTTTACGTTGTTGTACTCGGGAAACCCGCTCGAGCGTCCCTTTTCCCGCTCGAGCGTACCTGCTCCCAGCACAGATTCCAAAACTTCAAACATGTGTAACTCTCTCATCCGGACTCCGTTTTAGGTCGTTCTTGTGTCCAAATTGAAGCCCCGGAAAGAAGCTTCCCAATGGTTCTAACCTCACATCCAAATACAAAGTGTGGAAAAAGAAAATGGCAAAAGAGTGACTGTTGAACGTAAACGAATTGTTCGAATTAAAGTTTTTTGGTCCAATCTTACTTTACCATCATATTACCACCTCAATCAATACTCCAAAATAAAATAAGAAGGTTCCAAACACACTACTACAATGTCAAGGGCAATCTTACTTTTCACGCTCGAGCGCGCACAGACCAATAAGGCAGTCCGCTCGAGCGTCAACTCCCCTGCTCGAGCAGAGATTCACAACCCTCAGAATCTCAGGCCGTCTGCAAAATTGCTGAGAACCCCAAAAGTCCGCTTGAGCGTCAACTCCTCCGCTCGAGCAGAGGGAAGATTTCTGGATCGTCACATCCTTCCCTCTTTAAGAAATTTCGTCCTCGAAATTGAAGAAAACCAAATAGAAGACAACTCAAACATAAACGAAAACACACCCTGTAATGTTCCAAAGATCCATACTCGGTAATGCTCTTTACTTTTCCAATTTAATACCTCAATGTTCTAAAGATACCCAAACAACAAGAATCACTAGGAAAGGATCACAAATACTTTCGATCAACACACACACATCAGAATTTCAACGGGCAAGGAGCAGCACTAACCATTTATAATCCCATAGTCCATAACAACTTCTCAATTAACAACTAATTTGCAATTGCACTTCAATTAACGGCATCACCAACTCTTTATTCCATTTGACATTTAAAAATAGAACAGTGAAGACCATCATACAATTACTCCTTAAAGACAATCACATAGAGGAGTTCCTACTCAACTTCAAGAGAGGCCAATCAAAAAGATCAAACATACCTTAAGCTTTAGGATCTCTACAACCTTTTCACTTCCTCACTTGCTTCCTTGAAGATCTATGCTCTTCTTTCCAACCCTTATTTCTTTCCAGGAGATATTTTCAAGTTTGTGATCATACGTAAGAAGACTTAGGTATATATATATAGATAGTCATATATAAAAGCATATAGGACAAAATCCAATCGTTTAATCATTCCGAAATTGAAATTTCGTAAACATACTTAATATTACATAAAAATTATGCTGATCACAGATATATAATCATTTTCAGATAATTAAACCTTTAAGGCCTCCAATTTCTGATTCAACTATTCTAGGTGTAACAGATACGTTTCTTGTTAAACATATAGACATCCTTAAACATGGTTTCACTACTTAACCTTAATTGCTCATGGAATTTCACCGTAAACATTTAAAAGCACAAAACAAGGATTGAAAAAATATATCAGACAACACGTACGAGGGTCGGGTTATTACACTCAAATACGGAAACATAATAGTTAACATTCCCTTCAACGCATAATTTATAAATTCCCACAACATGCATTAATTTCAATCATAATGAAAGTACTCTCCACTATGTCTCTAACTAGATCGGCCCAGCGTTAATAGTTCATATGCAATTTTCATTAGAGAGTACACGTTCAAACTTATCCTGTTAAGTAATTCCTTAGGTGAATCTTATGATGCAATTTACTCGGTGGTACATGACCATTACGGTTACATATAGTTCCCTAAATAACTTAATTACGTGGTTAGATTCAAATCCGATTATGCATCATTGAATCAGATCTTAGAACCTACCAAATAAGGTTCTGTCTAAGAGGCACGATATATTCCATTTCAACAGTCACCAATGCAGTGACATGCTCGAAGTTATTTTTCATTTCTAAAAACATATCAAAATCATATCGTTATGTGGACTCAAAACCATATATACTAATTCTTGACAAGATCTGAACGATGGGAAGAAGAATCCCCATTATAAACACCTGATCATGCCGTCATAAGTTCAAATCTGAATAATAAACACAACTATCAAAACAAGACCAGAAATCGAATTCAAAATCATACTTGACTAATCAATCATAACCGTAAGGTATAACATTTTCCTTTACTAGCACTTTTTCTTGTCATAGCACAAATTAATTTGGCCTCTTTTTTTTTTATTTTTTTTTCCACTATTCAGACGATTCTTCCTTTTCTTACTGGAAGACACGAGGTCAATCACAAGGTTTCATATTCACAACTTGTACACTACAAGAAATTGCATTTTTCGCAGCGCAACAAAATATGTTGCTAAAAGGAAAAATTCGTCGGCAAAGAGTTTTGCCGACACACAAAGCTACGTTGGCAACCCGTAGGCAAAAGTGTGTCAGCAAAAGCTTTTGCCGACGAAATTATCATTGCGTTGGTAAAAGTAATGCCTTTAGTGACGAACATAGTCGTCGATAAAAGCCTTCATCCATCGTCGGCAATTTACCTTGCGTTCGTAAAAGTCATTCAAATATGATGATTGTGTGGCACTTTTCGCGACACAAATTTGCATGGGCAAAAAATATACTTTTAACAACAAAATATGCGTCGGCAAAAATAAACTTTTGGCGACACATTTACGTTGGTAAATGTTGTCATTTGCCTACGGTTTGTTTGTCGATAAAACTTCACTTTTGGCAACGACATATTAGCATTGGCAAAAAATACACTTTCAGCAACACAATATGAGTGGGCAAAAGTAAACTTTTGGCAACGCATTTACGTCGGCAAATATTGCCATTTGCCAACGATTTGTTTGTCGATAAAGGTTTACTTTTGGCAACGGCAAATTGACATTGGCATCTCCAAACGTATAAAGATGTATTATAATATATGGTTTTAATTTTCTCTATGAAGAATAACAAAAACTCTGATGGTGTTAAATGCATAATTTTAAAGTACTTCAGAGTTAGAGAGTTGTTAAAGATGATATTCTTTATGAGCACATGTTATAGAATACATACTAGTTGACCCTCTAAATATAGGGCTTAGGCCAAATTTTAGTTTGCTAAATATATTGAGCATATGGGTACTTTACAGTTTGTTATGTGCTTGGTTAAAGAAATTTTTTTTACCCATGAATATTATCTATGGTATATTTCAGTTAATAAAGTTTAATGTGTTTATTCACATTTTGTTTATAGTTATGTGTGTACAAATAAATGGTAACTGTTATGTATGTATTCCTCTTATATGACTAATCAATCATAACCGTAAGGTATAACATTTTCCTTTACTAGCACTTTTTCTTGTCATAGCACAAATTAATTTGGCCTCTTTTTTTTTTATTTTTTTTTCCACTATTCAGACGATTCTTCCTTTTCTTACTGGAAGACACGAGGTCAATCACAAGGTTTCATATTCACAACTTGTACACTACAAGAAATTGCATTTTTCGCAGCGCAACAAAATATGTTGCTAAAAGGAAAAATTCGTCGGCAAAGAGTTTTGCCGACACACAAAGCTACGTTGGCAACCCGTAGGCAAAAGTGTGTCAGCAAAAGCTTTTGCCGACGAAATTATCATTGCGTTGGTAAAAGTAATGCCTTTAGTGACGAACATAGTCGTCGATAAAAGCCTTCATCCATCGTCGGCAATTTACCTTGCGTTCGTAAAAGTCATTCAAATATGATGATTGTGTGGCACTTTTCGCGACACAAATTTGCATGGGCAAAAAATATACTTTTAACAACAAAATATGCGTCGGCAAAAATAAACTTTTGGCGACACATTTACGTTGGTAAATGTTGTCATTTGCCTACGGTTTGTTTGTCGATAAAACTTCACTTTTGGCAACGACATATTAGCATTGGCAAAAAATACACTTTCAGCAACACAATATGAGTGGGCAAAAGTAAACTTTTGGCAACGCATTTACGTCGGCAAATATTGCCATTTGCCAACGATTTGTTTGTCGATAAAGGTTTACTTTTGGCAACGGCAAATTGACATTGGCAAAAAATACACTTCTAACAACACAATATGAGTAGGCAAAAATAAACTTTTGGCGACACATATACTAACGAAAATAATTTAAAATAATTTATATATTTTTATAAGATTTACAGATTTACAAGAGGCATCCCTCAGGCACCACTATTACACTACTGACACTGCTTTTAGAAGTAATGTATAAAACCTAAAAGGGTAAAGTCACTAAAATACCCAAATACATCCAAATTGTGAACCCACATTAGAAACAACAAATAACAAAATGAAAACCTGAAACTAACAAAGACAGGCAAAATAGCATGAAAATCACCCACAAACTTATCCAACAGACCAACATCTAGTAGCAGCTGCCTCACAGCAACATTGCAGCAGCAGCAGCCCAGCAAGCATCAGCCACGAGGGCGGCAACAACAGCAAACCAGCAGCAGTAGATGCAACAAACCAACAAGCAACAGCCATCAGCCACCAGCAAAAAGGAGGATCTGGTATCAATTTGTATTGATCAATGACAAGTTTAAAACAAAGTTCATTAGCATTTTATTGATTTGGTAGCAATCTGTGTATGCGTTTTTGTGTTTGTGTGAATGAATGTTAATATATGTGCAAGCGCAAGTACTGGCCAAAACATAAAGCTTTTACCATCATCCGGTAAAAAATAAAATAAAATAAAATAAAATCCTTCGATTTCTAACTATACTAAAACAATCAGTAGCAGTAGATCCAATGCATTCTACACTCAGTGAAAAAAAATGTTGTCCAAGTTACAAATCATTCACTTGCAACAATGGCAATAATTTACACAAGGCAAACTAATTTCAGATTCTCTACTAATATTCAGATGAGGTCCATTTCAATGATTTCTGATATGGAAGGCATATGCATTATCTCTGCAATATGTACAGAGGTTTCGAATTCTCTGTAGTCAGACAACAATATGATGATATTACAATACAAAACTCCTAATCATTATCAAGTTCACATTATTCAATAATTTGGCAACAAGAAAAAAACAAATAAAATGGTCATTTCTGACATCATATCGTGGTGGTTATTGCTGACAAAGGCAACAATATGAATAAGGGTTATTGTGATATATTTGTTTCCAACAAAAATGGACATGATGTTCGGTGGGATTCAAGTAGGCAAAGATGATGTCAATACTACTGTAGTCTTGGTGATGATCATGGTGAAGATGGTAGTCCCCCAGTGATTATTGCCTCTGATTGCCGGCACCAATACGAGTTGGTTACAAATTTATTTTGGGTTGACAACGACAGCAATGAAATTGTCGCATTGACATCATTTTTTACCATTTCTTCTTTCTTATTCATTGAATTTGCCCCTCATTTCAGTTTTCCCCTTTTCCTTGTGAGATTCTAGTAAAATGAAATGTGCATGGTTAATGCAATACTTTTCAAAAACATTGTATGATGGAAAGCAGAAAAGAAGAAGATGACAACAAAAATCTTTTCAATATGAGAAAACTAGGATTTCAAGAAATTGAAGGTTCTGAAATGGTCCCTCCTAATGCATTCACTTACTCGAAAAGCCCAATAAGAGACCAAAAGAAATCAGAGAGACATAAAAGGAGAGAATTAGTATAAGCATTACTATAGTAGGCTTAAAATGGCACGATTCAAGTGCAGAAAACGAACCACATCAATCTATTGTAAACTACATACTTCTTAAGCAAATCCTAGCAAACTGGGCACTTACAAAAACCTAAGGAAAAAGGAATCAATTTCCTCTATTGTGCCAAATTCAATGTATTCAAAGAAAAACAATAATAGATAAACTGTCACTCCCGCACCTCCAAGAAAAATAATTAAAAAAGAAAAAGCAATAATTATTTTACAGAAGATATTTGAGAAGAAAGCTTTACAGCTGTCAAACCATAAGCACCTATTTCTGGAACGGGGAAGGAAAGGAGTTTGGGGTGGATCAGCTATGATAAATAAGAATGGTAAGTTTAATAAAAACATTTAAATGAAATTCTGCCAACAGACGCCAAGGGAGTCAAGGTTCGTAAAGTTCCATTACTCATTATGAAATACGAATCAATTCAATTCATATTCTTCGTCAGCAAAAACATTGTCACCAATAAAATTAAGGTTAAAAAAACTACAAAATATTAGAGGACTTGCAGAATGAGAGGGGAAACAAAAGATTTTCTTATTTACCTACAACATGAGAAAAAGTAACTATACAATAACCAAAGAAAAGAAAGAGAAGGGGGGAAAAGTCTAGGCATCTCACCATAAATTGTGGGGGGAAAAAAAAAAAAAGAGCATAAAATGTTGGAATTGCAAGCTAATTCAATTAGTAAATCTTAACCATCGACTATTATTTAAAAACTTAAAAGACTCTTTCCATTAAAACCCATATTAACCTATAACTTTTCCTTTCTTCCTCCCCACCCTTAAATAAGTAAAGGCACACACCCACGCCCCAAATAGAACATAAACCGTACACACCTCCCTTTTGAGATGGCAAGAGACATACTCAAGTTAATAGCTTGTGGTCACAAACAAAAGATGCATTATGGCAATTTGACACAAATCATGACCCATGGGCAACTGCTACTCCTGAATCCTAAAATATTAAAAGCATATATACACAACTGAACAGAAGCTTATTAAATTAAGAAAGAAAATAAAATATGACTTAGGGCGACTCAAAGTTAATAACGCAAAGTCATCAATGGGCACAGCTTTTAATGCAAACAATTTGCAATATCCCCTCTTCTTCAGATTTGTTCTTCAATATGTTATTATGAACTGCATGAAAAACATGGCTTGTCCAACACTAAACATGGGGTTCTTGCATGGATGGGCTCTACACAAATAAATTGGAATAACATTCAAGATTCAGTTTAATAGGAAACTATAATAGTAGACATTACCTCGAGCTGATTTGTAGACAAAAAAGCACGAATTCCATGTAACGGTGCTCCAATTGGAAACCTAAAATCCAGTTCTGCAGCAGGAAACTAAGTCATACATGCAACACCAAAACCAATGATTAATGTAATTAATTGTTAAAACCTATCACCTACTTCACCCACTTAAACCTACTCCACTAAACCTAACCCACTACACCACTACCACCTCCACTTCACCTACTCCTTACCTACTACACACTCACCCTCTTCTATATATAGGAATCATGAATCATTGTAATAAATATAACATTATATCAATCAATAATACATGCATTTCTCTTTATACATTAAATTTCTACATTAATATACCACACCAGTATGGCTATGGCCAAAACAAAAGGTTTCAAGTCAGTCTTTCAAGTAAGAATTACATCATACCACCAATTTCACCCCCTTTGTTTACAAAAGTATGAGTATGATCCTTCACAAGCCGATTTTTATCAGCACCAACCTAGGTCAAAGTAGAGATCCAAGAAAAACAATCAGAGACCACTGTCTTGAGAAGATTATGTAACTAAACTACAATTTTATATAGTTAATTCTCAGAAAACAAAAGGGTTTTTTCTTAAAAAATTCATGGAGCCAGCTTAGTGCAAATGCATCGACAGTTCTCAACCCACAAATCAACTACAATAAAATAACTTAAACATCCTACATTTCAAACATGCATAGGGAAGCTTGAGATTAATCACATAGAAAAAAGTAAAATCACCTAGTTACCACCATTATTATACGAAATCGCACTGACACAACTAATGGTGCATGGGTTGATATAATCCACATGTAGGGTCATAAGGGACTTTTGTCATAAATTGGAAATAAATATGGGGTCCAAGTTTTGCCCACCCTGGTCAATTAGCAGAGTTAAGGAACTAACAAGTTAAGTACATGCCTGAGTTTATTCTTTCTGAGCAGTCCTGCCAATAACAGATACACTAAACTGCATACAAAAGGGTCTATCTAAAAGCTATGAAGTCCAAGCTCAAGCCATGAGAGGAACTAACCAAGTACAGAACCATATTCTTCCATTCTATATTCAAAAGCAAGCTCATAATTGTGTAGGCACATTGGGAGTGCATTGAAGGCATTAGTAGGCCATGAATATGTATGAGCAATACATCATTGGCACAAGTACATCAGTATAGAAGCTTCTTGGCATCCTAATAGATTTCAGCGATAATTCACCCATCATTTCAATATCTTATGATCTGTAAAGCAACTACAACAATGAATATTTCTTACCAACAGAGAAGATTTAGTTCCTTGCTCATTATCATAAGCAGATGTCATACAACAATCAAAAGCACAAAAAATTGAAACATTTTGTACCATAGCTAAATTATTAGGACACAGATATTTGATCCTACAAGCGTCCTAAAAGGCACTGTTATATCAGTTATTACCATAAAAGATCAATGGATCAAATATTCTAGAATATGAATGGTCCTTGTTTCACATATCATGCTTTATGATCATGAAAAATATTCTTTATTTGCAGCTTAAAAGCTATGGGCCATAAAGAATACAAGAAATGAAATTAACATTAAAATCTAAATTATCAATAAATAACTTCATGAAAACAAGCATGTGGTCTTCACCTTTTTCATTAATCGAAAAAGATTATTGTAACAACCAAAGAAAACATGAAGTCCATTTCCTAACTATAGTTTGCATTTCTATAAGCTCATTTTTCTGATTAAACACAATTGCTCAAGGGAATAAATCAACTTCCAGAATTGATCACACGTGCCATGTGCTAGTTGCATGCAGTCCTAGCAAATGAAATCTTCATCATGAATCATCTAGTCTATGAAGCATGGACACTCCAAAATTAGTGCCGTGGCGGTGTCCGACACGGGGACACGCCGGGGACACGTATGGGACACGCCAGATGGCGTGTCCCTTTAATTTAATGATTTTTTTGCAGGGGACACGGCAGGGACACGGCGGGGACACGTGTGTCCATATGGGGACACGGCATGGGACACGGCGGGGACACGGCAGGGCTATTTTTTTTTTTTTTTTTTTAATTTAATTTAATTTTTTTTTTTTTTAATCTTTTGCCTCTCTTATTTAGTGCTTTTGTGAAAAATATTGTTGGATGTTGAATGTTTTCCCCTTCTCGTCTTAGTTCTTGTTATCGTTTATTATGATTTTTTGTGAATTTTTTGTGAATGGATGATCTATTAATTTGTTTAAATGTAATAGTTATGTTTATTCAATTAATGTTACTATGTTAGTGTTTGTTAATTTTAATTTAGGATGAATGTAATATGAATCTACATAACACATAAAAATATATAAAATAAATAAAATAAAATTCGCCGTGTCCCCCGCCGTGTCCGTGTCCCCATTTTTTGAAAATTGCCGTGTACCGTGTCCGTGTCCGTGTCCGTGTCTGTGTCCGTGCTTCATAGGATCTAGTAACTTAAGGATAATATTGTCATGAGCAAGAGAGGCCAATATATATTGTATATAAAGAGAGACAGAAATAGGATGGTCGCAAAAATTCTGGTTTTGAATTACAGACAAATAAAAGGCTATTCAACTATTTCATTCAGCAGATGTATCTTGTGGTTAATCGGCATTATCTTTCTCTACAGAAATAACAACAATTAATAATAATGACAACAATAATATCATAAAACAAAACGAAGAGAATTTTCCTTACTGGAGCAATGAGCCTTGTCCCTCGAGGTAATAGTCTTCAGGTGATGAGAGTGCAAGGTCTGCAAAGCATGAGAAATCTGCATCTGGGGTATAAAGGAGATTATCCAACCCTGCAGCTTGCCTTACTTGCCTAACATTTAGAAAGTGCAAAATTTACTTAAAAATACATGCAAAGAGTAATTTATTTTCCGTAGTCATGATAAGTAAAGTGTATTTTATTCCTAGATCCCAAAGGAATCCACTTTCACAAACCAATAACTTCAATACATGAGAGGATCACCTTGAACGTTCTAAATCCTGTAACTCTGTGACCCAGCCGTTGTATCTGAGTTGCACTGTGACCACAGGCACACCAACTAGTTCATAAATATTATCAAAGAATTCCCACTCCCTCCATGTGGGTGGAAGTAATCTTTTAATTCCAGGGACATCACATGCTGCCACCAAATGGAGTAGTTTAGTATTTAGTAAGGACGTAAATAGTGAGAGTATCAATAGATGAAAGGAAAGCCAACAACAAACCTGCAACATAAGCATCAGCTTTCACAATTTTCTTTTGAGTAGCCTGAAAGTTTAAAACAAAAAAGTATTAAGCATCGATCATTTAAACAGATGACCAAAAACCAGAACATCTGCTTACATACGAGTAAAGGTCAACTTGTTGAATCCAAGAAGTTAGATCAACATCCACTTACTATTCATTGTGGTCCCTTAATTCGATCATATTATTGACTTTTTCCATTTTAAAAACATTTGTTCGCTTCAAGCTCAAAATTATAAAATGCAATAGACTAAGGAATTCTCACTAATTGCACAAAGCTACAATCAAGTAACTATGGTTTCCTTTTTTGCCACATTTATTGTGTATCAAACTATCAGAAAAAGAACCGCCTCTAAAACAAGTATATAAAGATGAATAAAAAACTAAATTATGAAGATTCCATAATTCAAATCTTTCTGAGGATAAACTATTACTTTCAAAAAGAATTTACCCACAACAGTATCAGAAAAATTCGCGAGATTTCTTAATGGCTTTGACATGGATTTATGTAGTTGAAATAAAAATGCATAATACTTCAAATTGTACAAGCATGTGTTAGAAAAACGTAGGAGACTGAACTGCAATCCAGAGTCATGTAAGATATCACAAGAATTCAACTGGATGACTTGCAAAATCCAAACACTCGGTAACAATAAGCTTGATTCCACAGTACTATTTCTTTCAACTTCGTTTCATCCATCCAATACTTAAAAAAACAAAACAGACAAATTCTAATAACTTCACAGGTTGGATCACATACTATCTGTAACACATTCTTCAGAAGGGCCAGAGCCCACAACTTCAGACACAGCTACTTGCTCTGGCTCCTTGTCTTGCTCAGATCTGGGGGTAAAAAAACCAAAAGATAAATTAATATTAGAGAATAAGCACTTAGTTTGTGGTAATGTCCTTTAGCTTTAGCCAGTAAAAGAATTAATATCAAAGATGCGTCTGTTGTAGCGTTACAAGAATTGAGACATGCAACAAAATTCAAGCCTAAGCAATCAACACAGAATTGAGCCCATTCCAAGTTTTGAACCACATTTGAAAATGAGGATTGATCCAAGCCAAATTGAATAATAATAAACAACCAAAACAATAAGAACCAATTATATGAACTGGCGAGTCACAATTTAAATCTAGTCATTGTGAGCTACTACAAAATATTTGTTAGAAAACAAGATATGATGCACAATATGATTAGCTAAACATATGAGCAAAAAGGAAAAAACAGTATCAATGACCCATGTAGATTCGAGAAAGTGCCATACACAGAAAATTAACAATTGTAAGAAGAAAAGAAAATATTATCTTTCCAAATGGAAATGACTGAAGACATCACCAAAAACAACACAAGCTCAAATCCTAAATGAAAACTAACTCTATAAAATGCCAACAAATTACAGTAATTGAGAAAACAAATCAATATTCAGGAATTCTTTTTTGATAAAAAAATGCCTGGATTCTCATGGATGTTAAAGAACCGACTGCATCCATGGCCATTTCCACAGGCTTGGATTCGTCCCAAAGGTATTTATATATTATATATCAAACCTTCTTTTGTATAAACATAATTTGTAACCATTAATTTTCATTTTCATGAAGGGTTCGAGTAGGCTCTATTGCCAGCATTGAAAAGTGATGAAACCAAGAGTCTCAATGTGAACCCCAACAAACCAACACTCAAATAACCAACAACCCAACCATTTAATCCATTCGATCAAAATTCTACAACCCATAATCAAAATTGAATTAAAAACACAAATAATCGAACAAAAATGGAGTGAATGTTGTGTGTGTGTGTGTGAGAGGAGAAGGAGAGAGAGAGAGAGGAAGAGTAGATCTCAAAACATACCTTCAGAATTGAACTGATACCGTTTCTATCGAAGAGAAGAGAACGAAACCCTTCCATCGTCGCCGCCGCCAAGCAGTCCACCGCGAAGAGAGAGCACTGTTTCCAGGTTGAAATCTAGCCGCTGCCGGTAGAATGAAATCGTGGAGAGTGACGAGGAGTTTACTTGCCTGGAAAAAAGAAGGGGAATTTTGATAGGAACTGCCTCAACTTTTTAGAGCAGATCACCAATAATAATAATATGATAATAATAATTAATAATTAAAATAATTAATAATATAATAGATAATATAATATAATTTTATTATTTATTTATTTTTTTGAAATTAAAACTAAATTTGAATTATTAAAAATAAAAAATATATTTTGAAAATTTTAAAAATTAATTTTATATCTCTTTAAAAGGGTAAAATTATAGTATTTTTTTTTTATTTTGTCATCAAAGTTTTTCATTTTAAAGTTTTTTTGGAAAAAAATTTGAAACAAGTTCTGAAAATAAAACCAAGCATATTGAAATTGATAATGTAAACCACATTCTTGAAAAAGTTTTAGATATTTCAAATTGTCATCTCAATTAAGAGTGTGTTTGGGCTTAATGGGGTTCATTCTGTGATCTAATTCGAGATCATTTAAATTTACAATTAATAACTAAAATATTTAAACGTTTATAAAAAGTTATAATAAAAAACAACAATTCACCAAATCCACCCCATTTCAGCAAAATTTTTTACCGATGAATATGTTATTGTCGCTAAATGGTTAACTCTTTGCCACACCAACTGGTCGGTCACCAAAAAAGTAAGTACACTATAGCAACGCTTATTGTGTTGCCAAAAAAAAAACCTTGTATAGCTAAATTTTGAAAATTTGGCGCCAACTAATTAATTTTGGTGCCTATTGAAAAATTTATGCATTTTGCGACGGTAGTAAATTGCGTCGGAAAAGGTCTACTTTTACCACGAAATTGATCACTGCGTCGGCCCAAAAATATAGTTTGGGCTATAAAATGACGTCGTCCAAAAGTAGTCGCCAAAAGTGCAATTTCTTGTAGTGGTAATTTAGTGGTCAGCAAAACGGTCATATAGAAATTAGAGACCAGTCATTTGGCTCAATCAGGTAACATAAATAGAGTCTCAGGTAGTGTCCTCGTACGTAATGTCTACTAGGTCTGGTTCATAGGATCATAACGTCATTAAGATACAGTAAGCAAAGAATCACACCCTACAGATTCCATAATAATCAAACCACGAATGCAACGTATATGCAAAGAGTATTTGATTCGTAACATCAAGTCGAATTCGTGGTAAGTAATTTCTTGGTAGATTAATTCATGTGGTGAGTTAAATCAATTTGTATCACGTAGTGAGTATTGTTACAAAGTTGCTAAACATGCAAGAGAAGGAATGGCCAATACTACGCTAACCATAGCAAAATGGAATATTTCCATTCTCCATTTGTTTTCCACCGAAATCCACATATCGTGCAGAACAATTCACATTCATAACGTTCCCATATATGGTGATACAGGACAATTTCACATATCTAACATTTGCATAGTATACACAGAAATTTCATAGAGAATGATTCTCTTATCTTAAGTCACTTAATATACAAAACAGGATTTAATTTCTTGTTGGTAGCTTATCTTGTTTACCAATCATTTTTAGTTGACTTCAAGTAGTCAATAGGCTGCCTCTTTTTTTTTTTTTTTTTTTTTTTTTTTTTTTTTGACAAATCTCATGTACTAGACACATGATGTGGGTGAGGTCCTCATATCCTTCAATTCATTTCTTACAAGACCCTGATCACAAATTACAGAAATACATGTAAACAAAACAGATTACTAATTCAGATCACAGATCACAGATTCCATAAACAAATCCCGATTAAACATAAAACTAAAACTCATTTCGACACTATCAATTATCCCTTGGTTCTCTATCAGAAGTTGTCAATAATTTTGCTCAATTTCACGAAACTATATTATATTAATACTATTCCACGATCATATATTGCAAATTCCCTATCCATTTTAACAATTAGTAGGATCCAATTTACATTCAATTAACCTTCTTACACAATTCGTAAGGGGTATTGTATACATAACTTTTTTTCTTTCTTGCAGCAGGTCATACTGTAACATGTTCAACTATTATACAAAACACAAACTTATCAAAGTACGTATTCACAATAACTTTTGAAAATCATAAGTCCAACCAGTTACCATTGACAAGTTGAAGACCATAACTATATCATAATTAAATATTCCATACTGAGTTTTAAGCAAATATATCTAAATAAATGATAGGTTAACTATCAGTTCAAAAATTAAACAACCAAAATTTGCATGTACATTACTTACCAATCTTTTCACCTGCGGTCATTTGTCTACCAACCGAGTGATCCTCTATCCTTATTCCCGCGGGCTGGCGCTACACGAAAGCAATCAAGTCAGCGGTATATACGACAAGAAAGTGACGATGACGATGGGACAGAAGTCGTGGAGCGGTGGTAAACAGATAAATAAACGTTGCTATCCAGTGCTGTGGTCGCTAGTGCACGTGGAAGGATGTCATGCATGAGGGCGTGAAGGTCGTTTTGTGCGGTAGACATGCTAGAGCGGTCATATGATCGTGTGTGAGATAGAACCTGTGTCGGTACCACTTGTCACGCCCCAACCCGCCCCTAAGAGTTTGGGATGACCACCTCAGAAACGGACATAAAACCTGATGAAAAACCTATGGGCCTGAACGGAAGCATTTTAATTCATATAATAGCGTAAATAATATCCATTAGCTACCACTACTGTCAGGATCGCAAAACGAACATAATGCAGATAAATATACAGTGACGTGTATCTGTAGATAGCTTGTACATATACATTACAGACCAGCCCTCAAGGTCGGGCGTATAACGAAAACATGGGAAGGTTAACGGATTACAAACACATCAATCTTAACAGACATTCAGGATACAAATAAAAACTTAGCAAAACTCCATAACATGAGCGGTCATCATCTAAGAGCGTAGATACTCAGGGATTGACAACTGTGGTCGGAAGCCACAGGTTAAGGCTGACCTCCAAGTTGAGTGCCTACAGAAACAGAAATTAAATAAAGTGAGCCAAGCTCAACGAATAATACACATAACAATTCAATGCTCAACGTGGATTTAATATACATATCCGTGCATTTATAAATAAAGAGAAATATGGTTAATTTGTCTCTATACAATTTAGAAGGCCTTGGGCCCAATCTTAAACTGAGTGGCTTTAACCCTTAACAAAATGGCATTGAAGCCTTAACAAAATGGCATGAGGCCCTTGTCAGATGGCAATAAAGCCCTTGTCAGAATGGCATAAAGCCCTTATAGAGTGTGCCAAAAGCCCTTGTAGAATGGCATGAAGCCCTTATCAGAATGCATAAGCCCTTGTCTTACATGTATGAACTCAAGAGGTGGCTCGTACGGATTCAGAGGTGACTCGCATTGCAGCACTTAGTCCGTACAACACTTGTTTTCATACTAACAGATCATACAAAATGGCCATAGCCTCATAACTTTCACAGACGGCCATAGGCCTCATAACTTTTCACATTGGCTTTAAGCCCAGTTCACATTATGTATGGACTCAAGAGGTGGCTCGTAGGATTCTAGAGGTAACTCGCACTACAGCACTTAGTTTCGTACAACACTTTGCTCTATACCAGAATTTCATAGGTCTTAAAGAACCGAACCATCATATTGTGTCATAGCATAGCATAAACGGAAAGTAATAGAAATAAATCTCAGTTTTTCTTAGAATACCATTATGCAATAATGCACATAAATTTCCATGGCTTGGTTACAAATTAATAAGGTGTCTCGCGTACAACTGAAAATAATAATAATAACAACTATTAACTGAGGCCACATATATCATTACCATATGCTTAATAAGGACAGAATAACCCACATTCTAACGCGAGTCACATTAATGTGTTAAAATTTGCATGC